TGGCTATTTTCAGTTCCTAGCTCTTAGCAGAAGTAAGGTGCACCTTGTGAATGGGTGGCATGCTTCACTGCAAACCATCATGAATGGATGATGTGGGCTCTGACTCAGTTGCAGAGGAAGAGGAATAACATCCAAATTGCTGGATTTGAGTCTCAACCACATCTTGCAATTAATTAGAAATGAAATGTTAGATCAATGTTGTTCTCTGCTAGGCAAGGTAAAAATCCTTTCCCTGAAATTGTTTGCTCCATTTTTATACTAGCAGCATCGGCTGAGAGAAATTTTAGTTACAATCTGGTTTTATTGTAATGGTTTTTAAGTAAGACACAGCGTTCTGTTCCATGCATTTTCATGTCATACTACCTTGTCAGAACTCTTTAAATCATCAAATAAAGTGGTTGCACTTGATCATTATCATGGTAACAGCTATAGCTCCATTAAAGAGGCATAGGGTACATGAATATATTTGGCACTTGTTATAGACAGAATTTGTTGTATCTTGCTGGAAATATAACCACTGAGTATAACTAGCACTTAAATTGCAAGAAACATTGCAAGAAGTATTACAGTATGAATAACCAAGTGCAACTGTTGAGATTCATTCCCTGATTATCTCCAATGAGGAACTTCTATATAGACAACAATGTCATGACTTAGAATGTCTGGAACTCCAGCTGACTTCTTGATCTCAAATCCAATCCCATCTGCAGTTTAAATTCCTTTCTCATAATAGCAAAGTGGTGTAAATTGCCTGGCTCTTCTCTTGTGAAAATCCACAAACATTAGGAGGATAGTTCCACTTTCATAAATAAATTTCTAATTGACACAACATCAGATACAGAGTTTAGCTTGGTATGGTTTCAAATCAGATTCCACCTCAGGAAAATGGCCAGGTTCTCCTGATTTTAACTGCCCACCCCCCAATAGGTAGGATGTTGATGTAATTGTTTCCTTCAGAGTCACGAGAGGCTAGTGACCTAAGATGTTTTGAAGAAGAATGTTTGCACAGGCCAACTTTTCTGCAAAGATTATGCAAAAGGTTCTTGTACTCTCTATTAAAAGCATAATTAGCTGTTTGACTGACTTTCCCCCATCAAAGTTTTTGTGTGATTGAGTTGCCTTTTCTTGCTGTATCAAAATTCATTTACCAAATCAATGTTCCATTCTTGACAGAACTTGGAGATATCTTTTGCTATGCTGAGAAAACCTGAAAAGCACTGGTTTCCCCAGAGTTATTGTGGATCAAATATAAGTAGACTTTCTTTTAAAAAAATCTATATTTAACTATTATACCAGAACCAAGAAATAGGTGAATACTCATTTACAAGGTAACATGTAACAAAATATGCAGCACATGAGGCTCCTTTAAAAAAAATTGTAACTAGTTGTTACTCTTTTCCAAAGTACTCAAAGTTATTTCTCCTCCCACTGTGGTCTATCCTCTATCCCAAGTCAGTCAGATTTCTGTGATCACTGAGCATGCTCAGTTCTAGACAATCTTTTCCTTATTTGGGAGCAATACATATGTTGAGGTTCCCCAAGTCTGCCAATATTTTAAAGTGTGATGGTGCTGCCGGCTATATAATTATCTGCATTCAAAAAAGCTTGCATAATTAGCATTTAGAATAATTACTGTTGCCCTCCAGACTGAATGCACAGGCAAATACTTCAATTTCCTGCAGTCTCTAGAAACCTAAACCCTGAGAAGGAAAAAAGAAAATAGAAAAAAAAAAAAAGAAAAGAAAAAAGGAGGGTTTAAGCATGTCTTATTATTACTATCACCCAGGTACAGGATGATTTCTTACATTATACAAACTATTCATTGATAAATCTTCCCTCTCTGTGCCTTCTTTTCATAGAAAAAGTTAGGCAGTTCTTTGTTGATGGATCACGATGAAACAGATGCTGCTCCACACACTCATTTAGCAGTTTTAGACCCCATTTCTGTTAGAATATGCTGCACTCCCAGACTACTAACAAATACTTACCTCTACCATTTATTCATTAGCTAATATTTGGGGGTCCTGAAATGACAAAATATATTCTGAAACAGGTTTCCATAAAGTGATCAGCATCACTGTAACCTAGAGTTTGGGTGAGAGCTACGCATTAGAAATATACCAAGTTTCTTATTACTTTGTGTCCAACACTTCCTTGGGAAAGAATCTGTTTTCTGGGTCTTGTGGCATCAGAATGTGAGATGGACTCTAGGGATGGACTTACTGATGATGAACAAGTGCCCCCCAAAATACATGCCATCACCTGTCCTTGAAAATTCATTCTGCCCATTATCTGCTATTTCTATTTTCTTAGAGCATCATTTTGGGGCTGGATTACTTGGGCCATTAAATTGCCTGAAATAAAATCAAATTTAAATGAACAAAAAAAAATACATCTGCCTACTGGGATATTTTGAATCCCGCCCTCCATGAAAAATATTCACATCATACTGAAGGGAAATGTTCCCAAGTTCTCATATTTGCTTTCTATTTTCTTTCTTGGATATTTGCAGAAACATATTCTGTAATCACATCCATGTCTGGTACCTGGTGACCAGGTTTCAAGAAGCTCAGACTTGAAAAGTTGCCAATAGTTTTGCTTTTATGTTTACCACCTGCCCTGAATGTATTGTTTTCTGTCTGTGTCCCTAGAAAGGGTACAGCAGGATACAATCAAACTGTAATGCATCTAGCAAAATATTTGACAGGTTTTACGATGTGTTCCAAGGCAGTAATCTAGTCCAGGTTAAACCCAGCTTGATTCCAGATTTCTTGTAAAGTATTTTAGTTTGAAGAAACCCAACTTGGCCTTTTATTGCATATACAAACTATATTCCTGGATTTTGGTACCTCGCCATCCTAGTGGTTAAAAACAGTTTTGACAACTTCTCCATTCCTCCATGGAACCCGTCTGCTGCCATCACTTGCAATTCATGTTCTATTTGTATGCTTTCTTCCTTTTTTTGCTTCTCAACATCTGTCACAAGCCGAAGTGATGAAGACAATTCCCACAAAAAGTTCAAGGATTTCAAAATTGGAACTGAGGATCTGTCCTGCTCAGCCAGTAAATCTTGTCTTGATTACTTTGATGTAACAACACTTGAAAGCTCCTATTTTATGAAACTAATTTAAACACACTGAATTGTTGAAAGATTAAAAACCACAGTCAGCTAATTACACTCACTCTCATCTCTTATTCAGCAAATGAATCACTTTTCATTACCACTTAGCTGAAGTACATGAATTTCTGCCTAATTAGAAATGTTGTAGATGGAGCATTAGCAAGGCTGGAGTGGGTCAAGATATCTTGGCTGCTTCATTTTTAATTTTTAACAGTAGAGTCAGATAGAAAAGGTGGGTGATAAGGAGTCATTAAACATTTTTAAATTATTTATAAAAATTACTTTACCCAAATGATCCTTATTCCCCCCAACTGCTCTCATAAACATCAAATGGAATGAAAGGAAGAACAGCCCCAACAGTGTTTTAATGAACACTTTAATGTTATGCATAACAGAACATCATGAGTACAATGGAAATAAATTTTAATCAATTTAATAGTAACAATAAAAAAATAAAATAATCAACAGAAGAAAAGGGGAAGCAATGAAGTTTCATACCTAGAATATAGTACTTATTTCAGTAGCAGCCTTGACTTTGCAAACATAAATTGAACTTTTGCATGCCAGATTAAAAATCATGATATGTGGGTGATCCTAAATGGAGGCTTTTTTTTTAAACAGGTAAAGGAAAAAAAAGTCTTTAATTCACTCATTCACTTCCTTTATTTTCATTTGATTCATAAAATCTGACTGCTACAGGTTTCCTTTAACAATAATAATAATATATATATTTATATATATTTAACTCCTCTCTATTGGATTCTGCAATTGCTAAGGCCATATTTACATAAAACAAAG